TGTGTGTGTGTGTGTGTGTGTGTGTCTGCTTTAATATTTTACTGTGGGTGTGAGTCGTGTATGATCAGGTTATTCATCATGTATGATCAGGTTATTCATCATGTATGATCAGGTTATTCGTCGTGTATGATCAGGTTATTCGTCGTGTATGATCAGGTTATTCGTCGTGTATGATCAGGTTATTCATCATGTATGATCAGGTTATTCATCATGTATGATCAGGTTATTCATCGATGGGAGACTGTTCAAATGTACGGAGACTAAACTGTTGCGTTTTCACGTTTATCGCAGTTTCTAGACTAGTGATAGAGATATATGAACGACCTGGCAACATCACGCACACAGAGGTGAAAAAAACCCCTCCTTTTTAAAAGTTGTACGGCACTTGCAGCACAATAAAGTCATATAAGTGCCGAAGATTAGAGGCGTGACAAGAGAGTAACAAACACAAAACAGACGGAGGAGAGATAAGGACGATAGACGTTTGATAGGAGAGAAGAAGCAAACCACACCAGAGCACCCGCCAACCGCACAACCTCCAAAAGAAGAGCACGGCTTCTCCCGGCCAGATAGACGCACACAGTAATACATGTATATCCAGACTGATTGGGTGCCCAGAAAACAACAACAGTAGCAACAACAACAGCAACAACAATAGCAACAACAACATAGAAGGCGGCTTCAGCCGCCACTTGGGCAAAATTCACAATTTCCTACCAACTGCATGAAATGTTTAATGTATGCCTCGCGCTCATATGACCATACGCAGTTGCAAGCGCGGTAAAACACTTACCACAAAAAACAAACAAACAAAAACAACAACAACAACAGAACATCCACTCAAACCGGCACTGTTGTCAGAAACACTAGCACTGTTTCCGAGAATTGCACTCCTTCACACGCCTACACATTATATATTCCGACTGATCGAGTGCCCGGTAAACAGCAACCACAATAGCAGAAACAACAACAAAAACAACAACAGCAACAACAACAACAACAGCAACAACAATAGCACAATCACCCAACCCGGCACTGGTGTCAAAAGCACTAGCACTGTCTCCAAGAACCACACTCCACCACACAACTAGAAGTAGATCTACGGCACAACTTGGGTGAGAGGAGAAGAGTTCCCAACAGTACAAACTGCCCACAGACCAGCAACGACAGCAGACGAGAACACTTCCAGAAGACACGACACAGGGACGTATAGGACTGCACGGAGCCAAGGAGGACAGGCCCACGCGTGGGTGAGCAGCGAGTGAGGAACAAACGAGCGGTGAGTGAGTAGTGAACGAGCAGCGAGTGAGCAGTGACTGAGCAGACGAGGTGAGACAGCCCCTGACATTCCGATGCCACACCCGGCCGTAGTCTATCGAGGCTGTAAAACCCCTACCCATATTCGATCTACAGAGTCTGGGTGAATCGATCGATTCTCCTTCACGGAATTGTGAAATTGAATATTAATAAGTTTACTTTTATGCCCCTTCCAACAATGTAAGTTTTCAACCCGATACCAAACCTGCGAATTTCCCCGAGCATCTACGATAGGACAAAGCCAAATTGATGGAAAGTCTCCCCCCCCCCCCCCTCCAATACGCCCCTATGTCCAACATGCCAGCAGCTGCATGGGCTGACGGCGCTCCCCTGTGATGGAGTCCCTCACGGCGTTACTCAGGTTCGCTTCTATCATCTATGTGTTGTTTCACACGATGCTTCAATAAATAATCCACTGGCCACTTGACAAATTAATGTAGCGTAAATCCCGCCCAACAGCAAGCGCTGTGTGTTTCACAATCTGTACTATTACCCCAGCAGACCTGAGAGCATTCTGAAACAACCTTCCTTTTCGCTGTCTATGGACGGGTACCCATTCCCACCTGGGTGAAGTGAGGAAAATTCGTGGAAAGTGCCTTTCCCAAGGACACAACGTCGGGCCCGCGGCTCAAACCTCCGAAACTGCAACCTCACGATTACGAGTCCATATCCTAACCACTAGGCCATCAATGCCTAACCATCCCAGTCCAGAATAACTTAAAACTAAAACACAAACAACAAAAAAATTAAATGAAAACAAGAAAAAAAGAAAGAGTCCTACGGCACTTGCAACACAAGGTCATAGAAGTGCCGAAGATTAGAGGTGTCAGTT